CTTGGATAAAGAAGAGTGTTGCTTGAAGACTCTTCAAGCACTTACAAAGATGAAGACTGACACCTCTAGGGAGGGCCATGGCTCATTATCCTATGGGTCCTCGTCACTCTAGGATGCTCAGTGTTATTCAAGTCTTGATTAAGAAGAGTTTCGGAGCTAATTTAGTGCTAGCATGCGCAGTTGCACCTGCTGCTGCTTTGAGTTTGTCAAATACTTTTGTCATGCAGTTTGAAGTTATTTACAAAGAAGGCCATGACTTAATGAGGGCGGGAACATTACAGTTATGCACAATCTAGAGAAGTTGGGAAGGAATAAACTAAAAGAACTGTGAAAATGTTTCTAATCCCAGCAGTGATACTCTATCTGTCGCTTTTGCTTTGTAGTGTTATGAACTTGCAGATATCCTAGTGAATTGGAATTTATCGAGAGCAACTTTGCAGGGGAAAGACCATATGCTTTGATTTTGGGTTTTTATTTTAAATAGGTGTAGAAACAAATTTGCATATTGAAATGGATTTGTTAGGGTAATTTAGGTAGTAAATTTAGGTTTAAAGAGATATTGATAGTTTAATTAAAAATAATTAGGATGCAGAGAGTAAGTTGGATGTGAGAGAAGTTATATGGATTCCAATAAAAAATTTCAATTTTTATTTATTTGTAAATAAGAGATGTTTAAAGTTCTAATCTCGGAAATTGCGAGTTCACAATCAAGTTATTCCCCAACCTCTTAGCGCAAATAAATCATTGTATTTCAACAACAACAAAAAAGCCTAACTTAGTAATACAGTATAGTAGTATTTCTTTTTACTTGTAAGTGAGAAGTCTTAGGTTTGAATTTTAGAAATAACAAAGGCTTAGTTTGAAGACCGTTGTATCAAAAGTCTGATTGAGAATGTTAATTAGCTCAACATAGTTTGAGTTTGCGGTAAATTTTGGCCCGCGTTTAGTTCATCAAAACTCAACTCATGAAAGAAACAAATTGAGTAAGTTCATGTTGATAATCAAAAAGACAATCTTTAACATTGATATCTTTAGCACATAAAGCTGTGAGTAACTTGTATCTTTTGGCTATAGACAGTTTGAACTTTTTTTTTCTTCACATATATGAAGTATGTTTGGAATGACAGAGACTTATGTTTGTTTTCCTTCTATGTTTAGATTGGTTATCTTATGTTTAGATTGGTTTTGGAGACTTATGTTTTCTGAGTTTGATTCTCATTTTTGGTTTTATAAATTTGATTACCAACTAAACTTTCAATTTTTAACTTTTACCACCTAGATTCTCTTAAATGTTGGAATCTATTCCTTACGTTGCTTTTTTTCTATTTTTCTAATAAAACATGTCACTCGTCTTTCACGTAGAGGGATATTTTTGTCAACTCACTTCCTAGGGTTTGTTGGAATCAATTTGTAATGAAGGCAAAATGCATTTTTTTTGTAGCGCGCTAGAGTCAGGTCATGAAGAGAAAATGGAGAAGTTGATTTTGTCAAGAGTTGTTGAAGAATTGAAGTGAAAATTGATTGCCATCATCTACATTGGCATTAAGTGAAGATGGATGAAGGATATTGAGTTAGATTGGTGTAGAAATTTGTGCGTTTTATGTTGTTTTTAAGCTTTATGGAATGACAAATATCATGTGTAGAAATCATGCAAAATTCTAGATTTACAGTGAGTTCAAGATTTTTTTGGTAGATCAGCAAACGAGTGTGTAGTTCATATTAATTTATTTAAGGTTAATTTTTCAGATACTTACGGAGGGGATTATCGAACTGGGGCTGTACAAACTTCCAATTTCGGCACCATATTGACTCAAGCATTATTGTTTTGGAGCCAATTTGATTCTAGTCATTCCTATGAAGTTAATTGACGAAAATATCCCTATGTGACATGTTTTAATGGCAAAATTAATGGAAAGTTATGTTGTCACATCCAGGCCCGAGCCTTACCACATCCCGAGCTCGACTCCGTCGTAGCACGATATTGTCCGCTTTGGGCCCCAACCACGCCCTCAAGGTTTTGTTTCTGGGAACTCACACGAGAACTTCCCAGTGGATCACCTATCATGAAATTGCTTTTGCGCGAACTCGCTTAACTTCAAAGTTCCAATGGAACCCGAGGCCAGTGATCTCCCAAAAAGCCTCGTGCTAGGTAGAGATGGGAATATGCATATGAGGCTTACAGGATCCACTCCCCTGGACGATGTGGGATGTTACATACATAGGCAGTAGATTTCAACAATTAAAAGAGCCTAAGTGATAAAATATAAATTGAAAATTTAGGTGGTAATATCGACATGTTTACAAGTTTAGGTGGTACTTGCGAAAAAATCCCCTTATTATATATATAATTTTGGCATCAAAAAAGAAAATTTCTTCTATTTTTAAGTATATTCAAAACTATTATATAATACGAGACTGTTAGCTCAAGTAATTTAAAACATTCGTTTTTGCACTCTTGGTTTTGTGTTCAATTCTTCTCTTGGGTTTTTTCTTTTAATAAAAAATATTCATTCTTCTCATTATATTTTTCATTCATTCAAAGAAGTGACATAAATATCTCGTAGTTAAAGTGGTTAAAAGCCTTTACTTTATATCTTAACGTTAAATCTGCTTATATGTTGGCCATTAATTCTAATGGTTTCCTAATTGGTGATTGAATCTCATCTGGAAACTTGATATTCCTCTAAAAGTTCAGAGTAGCTTATGGCTGCTCTCTCTTGATAAGCTCCTCATTAATGAACAAATGCTGAAAAGGGGTATGACTGATAACCCTGAGTGTCAAAGGTGTAGTTGGGGCTTTGAATGCAGCTCATGTTTTTAAAGATTGGCGTAAGACAAGAGAAGTTTGGCAAAGGTTGGGAATGCTTTATCAATAGTCAGACCACAATGATATTCATGATTGGCTTCATTTTAATCTCACAAATAAAACTGTCTTAAGGGGGGGGGTTTAGGGTGGAGGTTAGTTTTTTTCTGTTGCTTCTTGGTTTATTTGGTATTGGGGAAATAAATTTATTTTTGATCAGGATTTTGCGATGACTGATGAGCCTACAATTGCTATTTATACTTATCTTCATGAATGGTGGAAGGCTAATACTCACAAGATTGATAAAACCGCATAGGTTGAATCTTTTCTTGGGTATTCCTCATTCGGGTTGGTTTAAGCTTAATGTTGATGGTTGCAAGAAGGGAAATAATAATTTATTGGAGTAGATGGTGTTTTAAGAAATTCTGATGGGAAATGGATTTCTGGGTTTTGCGCCAATTTGGGCACATGTGAGATTCTCACTGTTGAACTATGAGGTCTTTACTTGAGCTTACAATTGGCATGAAAATGACAGATTCATAAATTATTGGTGGAATCAAACTTTGCAATTACAGTTCTCTTGGTGTTGCAAGCTGTTGGCAATAATCATCCTTTAGGTCTCCCTTGTTTTGGCATGCTAAGAATTGCTTTCAAGATCTTGGCAATGCGAACTTCGACATGTTTACAGAAAAAAAAGGACTTTGTGGCAGACAGTTTAGCGGCCTATAGTCTTGATTTAGATTTAGATCATTTTTACTTTAACACTCCTCCTTCTTGTTCAATTAGTTTCATCTATAAAGATTGACTTGTGATGCCCCGATCTAGATTTAGTATTGAGTAGGTTTATTTGGGCTCTTGCTTTTGACCCCGTTTTTCAACCCAAAAAAAAAAAAAAAGAGTTCAAAGCATCCCAAAAACACACAAAAAATACTCAAATAGCATATATAGTTTCTAGGCCAAATTTTTTTTGTGATCCTTGTGGTGACATGCCACTTTCAATATGACTCTCATGGTGAAAAACTATTAACTAAACCCCTGTGGTGAGCCCGGTTAGCAATTGAGGTCCAAATCCAAAGTTCGTTAGTCTTCCGTTAAATAAAATCATGTGACTATCACATGTGAATTGGTCAAAAATAAGTTTATTTATTTTAGAAAATAAAAACACAAAAACATGATTGAATTAAAATAAAATTACAAATAAAAGAAACTTGTAAAGATAAAAAAACCCAGTAGTTCCCGTATCTCATCTCAAGCTCCGAACCACCGCCATAGCCACTAGTGGACCTCCTCCACCGTCACTAACCATCACCCCAACTTGATAGCACATGTATCTCAACCTATATAATGCAGAAAAATCACATATGCACAAGAATAACTTAAAGAATTAAAAACAATGGGTGAAATGCAATACATATGCATTCAGACGGGTGAAAGGCATTGTAGAATTAAAGACAATGGGTGAAAGGCATTGTAGAAAATTCAATCTTCAGGTATGCCCTCCGCATATGAACTTTAAGAGTGTAAGAAAGTTAAAGAATTAAAATTCAAAGAAGATTAAGAAAAAATATTGAAAGGTTGTGTACTAGCCAACTAGGGTCAACATAAAACCACATTACCAATTAAAGACAAAACTGAACGGCATTTATGCATTCAAACTTGTACAAATTGATACAAGAATGAAAATTCAAGACTAAGACTCTAACTCATGATCAAAGACATGTTGGCATTGAAAAAAAAAAAATAGTATATTAGAAGTATTAGGATTTCCAAATGAAATTAAATCATACCTTAAAAATTAGGCGCGCCTTTACCTTTACCTCTTCTCTTAGCTATTGACGTGAGTTTACAGGTTTAGTTTTAGTCTTCGCATTCAAGCTTTCATTTTTCTGTAAAATCTAATTTCAAGTTAAGCCCTAAATTATACTAGATGTCCATTGAATAAGATGTAATTTGGATTGAAATGACGAATTTGACTATTCATTTGATAGTCACGTGAGTTTATTTAACGGAAGATTAACGAAAATTTAGATTTTAACCTCAATTGCTAACGAGACCCATCACAAATATCACATATTGAAAGTAGAGTGTCACCGCATGATCAAAAAAGAAAATTGGTCTAGTTTCTATGTGCGACGGAACTCGTGAGAATTAATAAGGTGAAGCGACATTTAAAAAAATAAAAATAAATAAGGTAAAACGACAGCACCGATCTGGCACCGAGTAACGCCTAACGCCTATCTGGGGACATTAAAACGTCCCTTGAGCGCGTAGGCAAAGCGCAGAAAAAGGGACCTCTCATCACATCTCATATCTCCCTTCTTCTCCCTAACCTCCACCGAAATACCTTCGCACAATAAAAGGGAGGAGAAGAAGACGACGACGACGACGACGACGACGACGACTGAGGAGACCCAACAGACACGGCAACATAAATAAAAGAAAATTTGTGATCGAGTCATCTGTAAGTCTCCCTCGTCTTTTCCCTTTCATTTCCTTCAGATCTGAGCTCCTGCTTACCTGGGTTTTCTTTGTTTTGCTTTTTTCTATTTTCTTATTTTATTTTATATTTTAATTTATGGTGTTGCTCCTGCTTACCTGGGTTTTCTTTGTTTTGCTTTTTTCTATTTTCTTATTTTATTTTATATTTTAATTTATGGTTGTTTTTTTTTTTTTTTAATTAGAGTTTTTATGGATGTGGGTTTTGTGAGAATGACATGATTTTGGGGTTGTGGGTTTGATTTAGAGATTCTTGATTGTAAATGTCAAGTGGGTTTTTCATAGGCGGTGTTGTTATTGCACATATCAAGATCCAAGCTTTATGGATATGAAAGGAGAACGCACACCTTTTTATTTCTCACCTACCTCTCAATTTTCGGCCTCGGATCGAATGAATTGAAGAAGATCAAATGACTGTAATTAACAAAGCGGGTGTGAGAAGTAAAAACGGGTGTGTGGATAACATCCCCTAGTTATTTGTGTGCCCCTACATGGTTGCATTTATTTTCTTGTGAGGTCTGAATTTCTTTAATTGGTAGCCCAGTAGAAGGTTCATGACCCTTGACCGTTAGGGGTAGCTTTCGTAGTAAGAGTAATTGGGCGGGATTCTCGACTTACTAATCTTATGGAAAACGAGGACTAACTTGAGGACAAACTTTTGATATATGAAGCGCATTCTAAACTACAAGGTGGAATCATCTGTTTTCTGTTATTAAATTGAGGTCAGCTGTTGTTAATCATGATATATATCTGGTGAATCAGAGCCTCATTGTCTTTGTTTTGCAAGTCTATGCTATCAGAACTGCTTGCTTCATTACGGTTCTTCTTCTGCACCGCCTTAGGGTTGTAAAAGATGGTGTCAAGTTCTGGAATATTGGGCGGTAACACCTAGGGTAGTCTGAAATATTGTTATCATTACGTGCTCAATGAACTCTCAGTATTGTTCTGTATCATGACGTGTCAGTATATGTACAGCATAATTCTCCCACACCCTCACTTGTTTGAGGGTGTTAATTGCGTTTGTTGAAAATGGCATATTTCTCATCTGAAGAATGGCTGTAGAATTTCACTCGGAAGTTATGGTGATTATCTTCTTCATATTTTTTCACCGCATCCAGTCAGAATGCGACTGTTGTTGATTATAACTGAAGACAAATTTGTTAAGCTCAGTCATACTTTTAGCATTGTCATGTATCTATATACTCTTGATCTCTTGGTTTAACCGTACCATGTCCTTCAGTGCATTGTTTGCAGTAGCAATTTATCTTTGAAACTTTCTCCTTAGCATGGAGACTTCACTTTTTTAGCTGTCATCTTGAAAACACGTTTGTGCAAATTTCAGATTGTCTGAGGAAGGTCCGTACATACTGTACAATGGTTCTTGAGAGCATTTTGTCTTCTCCTGTTCGGAAGTCAGCATCATTTAGAAAGCAATTCTCACAAAATGAGTTGGGTAGCTGGTCGACGGTCTTTCAGAGACACCGCTTCCTCTTAACAGCCCTAGCACTCCTGTCTTTCCTCTGCGCCATTTATCTTTACTTTGCAGTCACATTAGGTGGCAGTCCATCATGTTCGGGGTTGAGTGGAACTCAAAAAGCGTTGTGTAGCTTGGAGCATGCAAAGACTTCGGTTGCCCATGGAAAATTGAAAATTCTTTAGGATATAGATTGATATTGCTTTTACAATTTCATTAGAGTGTATTGAAAATTCAATTAACACTTAAATGATTGAAGTTCATCTTATTGCGTTCGTGAACTAATTGATTGGGTCAAATATACATAATATTTGTAGTATGGAAACACTGCTGTTTTATTGTAATAATTATTTTGATTGAAAGAAAAATTAGGCATATGGTGTTATCAGATAATGTGGTTTACTTAAATGGGTTTATGGGTCTCTTTCAATGTATTTGAAAGAGTTGTCATGATCCTCAATGTGTGCATATGTTCCTATTAGAACCTAATCGTTTAATAACCGTTTCGTTTTTTACTTTTGCTTTGAGATAAAAGGGGAAGATATATGAAGTGAAGAAAGGTTGAACAAGGATTGGGAGCATTGAAGGACAATGTTTGAAGCAAAAACACTTTTGTCTAGCGAGCAACGTTTTAAAAGACACATGTCTAGCAACCCTCTATCAGATTTGTGATTCTGCCGTGGAGAATGTTTCGCATGTTTTCTCAAGCTGTTATGCTGCTATATGGACTCAAAGAGAGATTCTTTTCGTCATCATCTTCATTGGAACCAATTTGATTCCTTTCTTGGTTGTGTGGAGGCAAATTTAAAATGCAAAGATTCGCGTTGTTTTGGGTTATCTTGGAATCTTGTTTTTGTTGTAGCCTTATGGTTCATACGCAGGTGGAGATGTTGTGTTATATTTTGTCCTAATTTTGCTAAGCCTACTGATCCAAAAAAAAGCATTTTGGAGTATTCTAAAGAATGGCTTAAATAATGTTAGCCTTTCTAGTAAACACAATTGTGTGCAAGTTCTTTTGGCTTGGGTTCCTCCTCCGTCTGAGACCTTTTAAGTTAAATGTGGTTTCTCTCATTCATGGTTCTCTAGCTTTAATCATCCTCTCTATGGTCTTGTCTCGTAGTGCAGAAGTTTGATCATGAGAATTGGAGTTGCAATTTGCAACATGTTCATAGAGAGCGTAATTTTGTAACTTAGCCAAGTTGAGTTTAAATAGCGAGATGGTTTTTCAAGAGTTTGCGGAGCCTCCTCCCTGTTTAGTTCAAACCCTTTTCGATAACTGCTTTGAAGTTGGTAGAGTTAGACTAATTGTTTCTTAGTATTTCTTCTCTTTCTTTCTTTCATGTTACCAAAGAAAAAACACTTTTGTCAATTTGTACTTTCATGCTTGAAAAATGCTAAGGAGACTCTCCAAAATTGAACTCTTCATGGATTATCTGCCACCTTATATTTATGGTATAATGTTTTATAATGTTGACATGTGAATTGACGTTAAACTATGAGATGACAAAGTCCATAAAGAGTCCCACATTCAGAAAGCCTCCTTAACATTTCTCTTGATGCCTTTCATGTCTTGCCAAAACCAAATCGTTAGGCAATTAGTTCAACATAGGGGATAGGAAAGAAGATGAATTCATTGAGAAGAGTAGTAACGAAACAAACAAGATGAGCAACGCAACGCATCGAACAAGACGAGCAAATTAGAGTAAAATAAGTAGGAAGATTCAATTATTGACAAAAACCTCCCAAAATATACCCCAAGAAAGAAGAAATGTTGAATTGATAGATAAGATGAAATCATGGCATCCCACAACCACTCCACTGCGTATTACCCAAGACACCAAGTTCTATTCTATGTTACTATCATTGTCGTTTAGTTATTTTATTTTATTTTATTTTAGTTATGTTTTTTTAATTGTTGTTCTATGTTGTTGCTCAAAATAAAGGCAAATTCAAATTAAATACCAATTTAATAAAATGCTTTAAGAAAAAAAATGCTAATTTTTTAAAAAATTACCAACTACTTTTAATGGTGGAGCTATCATGGGATACAACAACAACAACAACAACAACAACAAAGCCTTTTCCCACTAAGTGGGGTCGGCTATATGAATCCTAGAACGCCATTGCGCTCGGTTTTGTGTCATGTCCTCCGTTAGATCCAAGTACTCTAAGTCTTTTCTTAGAGTCTCTTCCAAAGTTTTCCTAGGTCTTCCTCTACCCCTTCGGCCCTGAACCTCTGTCCCGTAGTCACATCTTCGAACCGGAGCGTCATTCGGCCTTCTTTGCACATGTCCAAATCACCGGAGCCGATTTCTCTCATCTTTCCTACAATTTCGGCTACTCCTACTTTACCTCGGGTATCATCATTCCCAATCTTATCATTTCTCGTGTGCCCACACATCCCACGAAGCATCCTCATCTCCGCTACACCCATTTTGTGTACGTGTTGATGCTTCACCGCCCAACATTCTGTGCCATACAACATCGTTGGCCTTATTGCCGTCCTATAAAATTTTCCCTTGAGCTTCAGTGGCCTACGACGGTCACACAACACGCCGGATGCATTCTTACACTTCATCCATCCAGCTCGTATTCTATGGTTGAGATCTCCATCTAATTCTCCGTTCTCTTGCAAGATAGATCCTAGGTAGCGAAAACGGTCGCTTTTTGTGATCTTCGCTAGATTGCTCCGGTCATTAGTGTGGATAAGTATATAAATGGATAAAGATAGGAAAGCAAACACAAGATGTACGTGGTTCACCCATATTGGCTACGTCCACGGAATAGAAGAGTTCTCATTAATTGTGAAGGGTTTACACAAGTACATAGGTTCAAGCTCTCCTTTAGTGAGTACAAGTGAATGATTTAGTACAAATGACATTAGGAAATATTATGGGAGAATGATCTCGTAATCACGAAACTTCTAAGTATCGGAGTGTGGAGTCGTCTTGACTTGCCTTATCTGTCTCATAGGTAGATGTGGCATCTTCTCTGGAAGTACTCTTCCTCCATCCAGGGGTGGTATCTTTAACTGGTGGAGATGCACAAGGTAATGTATTAATTTCACTTGAAGCTTACTTGTAGTTTCAGGCTTGGTCAAGCGCGATACAAACCATGTAGTAGGAGTCCCCCAAGTCGCCGAGCTAGGGGGTCTGCTGAAAGAGGTGACAGACAAGGTAAGCAATCAGAGCTCCGACTGATTGTTCACCTTCTCCCCATCTTGCAGCAGCATGAAGGATAAAGAGAAGAAAAATGAGAAGAGATGATATGAGATACTTTTGCTTTTGAAGAAGTAACTTTCCACAGGCTTATTCTTGAACTGAGCTGGAGGGTTTTCTGGTTTCCTCCAGAGTATAAGGGCGACTGAAGAATTTGAGGGTCAAAACAAGTCCATCAAATCTAGAGTACGTTCCACCCTGCTGATATGGGATACTTTTGCTTTTGACAGAGTAATGGATGTATCGGCACGTGTTCTGTTACGCTTGTCTCCACATGCTTCCTTGTATCCTTCGCACTTGCCCTATCTGTTCTTCAAGCAGATGCGGAATCTTCCCTGGAAACATAAGATGTTGAAGATGAGTACTCGAGAGCAATGCCAGGTAAGTAATCAGGTAAGGGGTTCCAGACAGTCAGTTCCTGGCTGGAAGCTTGATTCCAAGTGCTGACTGATTGCTCTCTTTCTCCTTGTCTTGCAGGTAAAAACAAGGCCAAAGGAAAAGACAGGGAAAAAGCATGATATGGGATACTCTTGCTTTTAACCCTGATGATATGAGATATTCTTGCTCTAGTATAGCTTGTTTGCAGAGGTATTATCGGGGGGAAAGAAAGCTGAATATTTCGAAAGGCTTTGTTGGGAGTGCCCTCTCAGATATGATGAAGGGTTGAGCATTTTTGCAAGTCTGCCTGTCCGTTGGGGATGGAGGTCGACATATATAGGAGTCTCCCTAACAAGTAGTAATGTTATTCCTTTACCCTGCTTGGTCATAGCACGGTAGTGGGAGCTGCCAATTTCACATGTTTTAACTCTGTCAGAGCACTTTGAAAAAGTGGTCTGTGGTATCTGGCTCTCGAGATTCGGAGAACGATGCCTCTTCGATTTTTGAGAAAGCAATCATGCTGGGGGTCTGGCTCTCGAGATTCGGAGAGCAGTGTCTCTTCGATTTTTTAGGAAGTAATCATGTTGGGAGTCTGGCTCTCGAGATTCGGAGGGCGGTGCCTCTTCGATTTTGGAGCAAGCAATCTTGTTGGGAGTGTTGTCTCGAATGTGAGTAAAGGTTGGGCATGTTTGCTAGTCTACCTTGCCACGAAGCACAAAGGTTGATACACAGGGACTTTCCAATTATCCAGCAATGGTACTGTTCCTTTACCATCGCTTCGATTTTGAGAAAGTAGTCATGTTGGGAGTCTGGCTCTCGAGATTCGGGGGACGGTGCCTCTTCGATTTTGGAGCAAGCAATCTTGTTGGGAGTGTTTTCTCGAATGTAAGTAAAGGTTGGGCATGTTTGCGAGTCTACCTTGCCACGAAGCACAGAGGTTGACACACAGGGACTTTCCAATTATCCAGCAGTGGTATTGTTCCTTTACCCTTGTGGGTAATAATATGGTAGCTAGACCTTCAAAATTTATGTGTCTAAACTTTGTTAGTGCTGTTTCTTTGCTATTCTTTTACCTTTCTTGGTCAGAGCGATGTAATGGGAGCTGCAAGCTTCACGTGCTCAACTTTGGCAGAGAACTTTTGCAAAGTTATATGTGGTACCCATGAGCTATTGTTGCGTGTGGGAAGTGGGTGATTGAACAGTAAGATTCATGTGCTTTCTACTTCACCAGAAGTCTTCGACAGAATGCCCATAATTTCTGCAAAGCTGAGTGTGCGTGTGACAGGTGCTGACAAGGCTAGAAAAGTAGGTGCCTCTTTGATTTCTGAGATCGGCCCTCATGGTCTCTGAGCAGCCCAGCTTTTGAGAAAGCGAGCGCCTCTTCGATTGATTCGGAGAACGATGCCTCATCGATTTTTGAGAAAGCAATCATGCAAGGGGTCTGGCTCTCGAAGATTCGGGGAGCAGTGTCTCTTCGATTTTTGAGAAAGTAATCATGTTGGGAATCTGGCTCTCGAGATTCGGAGGGCGGTGCCTCTTCGATTTTGGAGCAAGCAATCTTGTTGGGAGTGTTTTCTCGAATGTGAGTAAAGGTTGGGCATGTTTGCTAGTCTACCTTGCCACGAAGCACAGAGGTTGACACACAGGGACTTTCCAATTATCCAGCAATGGTACTGTTCCTTTACCCTATCTTCGATTTTTAAGAAAGTAGTCATGTTGGGAGTCTGGCTCTCGAGATTCGGAGGACGGTGCCTCTTCGATTTTGGAGCAAGCAATCTTATTGGGAATGTTTTCTCGAATGTGAGTAAAGGTTGGGCATGTTTGCAAGTCTACCTTGCCACGAAGCACAGAGGTTGACACACAAGGACTTTCCAATTATCCAGCAGTGGTACTGTTCCTTTACCCTTGTGGGTAATAATATGGTAGCTAGACCTTCAAAATTTATGGGTCTAAACTTTGTTAGTGCTGTTTCTTTGCTATTCTTTTACCCTTCTTGGTCAAAGCGATGTAGTGGGAGCTGCAAGCTTCACGTGCTCAACTTTGGCAGAGAACTTTGGCAAAGTTTTCTGTGGTACCCATGAGCTATTGTTGCGTGTGGGAAGTGGGTGATTGAACAGTAAGATTCATGTGTTTTCTACTTCCCCAGAAGTCTTCGACAGAATGCCCATAATTTCCGCAAAGCTAAGTGTGCGTGTGACAGGTGCTGACAAGGCTGGAAAAGTAGGTGCCTCTTCGATTTCTGAGATCGGCCCTCGTGGTCTCTGGGGAGCCCAGCTTTTGAGAAAGCAAGCGCCTCTTCGATTTCTGAGATCAGCCTTCGTGGTCTTTGAGCAGCCCAACTTTTGAGAAAGCAAACGCCTCTTCGATTTCTGAGATCAACCCTCATGATCTCTAAGCAGCCCAGATTTTGAGAAAGCAAACGCCTCTTCGATTTCTGAGCAGGCGCCTCTTCGATTTCTGAAGCTCCGTCGAGTGCAGA